AATATATACCTTTGTTATTGAAATGTAGATAGAATAAGTTCTTCCCCGTCATTCAAAACTTTAGTTCAAGCAACAGGGCATAGGTGATCTTTAGGCTTACTTGATGTTTTAAAACTTTAGGTCGAGTCAGTTTTGGACTCAATAGGGAACGGTCAATATTTAGATTTTAGCTAATGTTTGGAAAATCAGATTGGAATTGATATATTAGTCAAATTCCTCGAATCTTTCATGCAGAGTAACCAACCTGATCATGGATTGTTAAGAAAATGGGAAGAGGATCGCTCGCATAAACATCAACTATTATAGAACGACCAGACCGATCGAGATTCTTCCAAACACCAAATATACGATGCGTATTACGATGAAACATGATTCTCTCCTTTCGAAGTAAACAAATTAGAAAGAGAATACTTCATAATGAGAGCTTTGCAAGAACAATTTCCAAGCCATGACGGACGAAAAAAAAAAAATGGTGCTTAACCACTTAAAAGATGGTTTAGGACCCCTTTTAAGGATTCGGAAAAAGAATGCACCCAAGAACAGTCAATATCTTTGCTTTGTTCATATAATATTATACATTTATTTGTTTTATGATCGATCTGAAAGATAAAGCTTTCACAAAAAATGAATTAGACCCTCCAATTACCAGAAATTCCGGGAGATATGCTTCGAATTCACAAAGGTACGTGTAGATTTTTGTTTATAATATTTTTGTTATGAGGAGCATTATTATTTTGATTGGTTTCAGTTATCTATGCATTCTATTGTTTAACAACGCAAAACAATATTATTCCATTGTTGTGAAGCGTACTAAATTTAGCGATATTATCAATAAAATCTTTAATTATTATATTTTTAGTTACATGCTAGGAGTAACAAATTTTTGACGCGTTTTTGTTATAATAAAATTTGATCGAAATATCAACTCCGCGTGTTATTAATTCATAAATTTCAACCTGAAACTTGATTTTCAATGAAATATAAACTTTATGTCAAACTAATATTCAATTTTTTGGGCCAATAAATTCGAAACCCAGTGTCACCATATAATAAATCCTTTCAATCATTCAAATTGTAAATTTTATTTGTATTATAAAGAAAATATTTATTTGTTGTAATACAAACAGTAATATGAATGAACAACCTCTGATCAAAGATGGATAACAATGGCACGTGAATATACTACGCCAAATTTATTATTCAATTATCCGAAATGTTACTTCACTAAAGTTTACCCGATAGAATGACCCCAAAACTTTAGCAACGAACTGTTGTGCAAAAAGCATAAACCTATCTTTCTTCACTTCTCACATTCTTTACCAATATTTTCCTTTTTTTCACAAATTCCGACTTTAAATAATTTTTTTTTAAGGGTTTTAATAAACCTTTCCTATCTTTTGTCTATTAATTCTACCATATTATTTTTTTTTAAATTTTTAATATAATTCTATTCAAGTACAAAGGATTGTATTGAGCTAATAGATAAATTTTTACAATATTATACCTAAAATAAAAAAAAAAATTAAACGTGCATATTAGTTAAAATGTCCAAGGCTGCGTTTTTAAGAGAATATAAACTCGTAGTCGTGGGTGGTGGTGGTACGTTATTCAAGATCGCATTTGTTCTACCGATTTTATTCCTTATAGTCGATTGTTCAATCCTGGCGAGAAAAGTTACACCTGCTAGTTAGATGAAGAGCGTTTGACCTTCCTCTTTCCAAGTTGTTGTGTTTCCTCGCCATAAAAATAACCAATTTGACCTTTTTTTTTTTGTGATTTTACTCTTAATTCAGTGTGTTAATGATTCTCCTCTCCTTTTTTTTATTTTCTCTTGCTACACAGGTGTTGGTAAATCTGCTCTTACAATCCAGTTCATTCAATCGCATTTTGTTGACGAATATGATCCTACCATTGAAGGTATTGTTTCTGATATGATGAACGACGTAAAAAAATAATAATAACATCAATAAAATAATCGTTACTAGATTAAATAAATAAATATATAAATATATATATATAAGAAAAGGAGTTAGATGTAAAAAGTAGGGTTGTGGATTGCGTGACCATTAGCTTGATCGTAGACATAATATGTGAATTCTAACAAATATTAACACATTTAACTTTGATTATTCAACATATAGACTCGTACCGTAAACAATGTGTGATTGATGACGAAGTAGCCCTGCTAGACGTGTTGGATACTGCTGGACAAGAAGAATACAGGTACGTCAATTTTTTTTTTTTTTTTAGGGTTCATATTACAAAGAGTAACATTTACAAATATTTTGTTATTAAAAATTTTAGCGCCATGCGGGAGCAATATATGCGTACCGGTGAAGGATTTCTTCTTGTATATTCAATCACTTCTCGTAACTCATTTGAGGAAATTTCAACTTTTCATCAACAAATTCTCCGGGTAAAAGACAAGGACTATTTCCCCGTAATTGTAGTCGCAAACAAATGTGATTTAGAGATGGAACGACAAGTTTCAGGACATGGTATGTAAAAATAATTTAATTATTATTATTAATTTTTTTTTTTTTTTTGCAAGTTGAAATTTTTTTAAATATATTCAATTTTAATGTTTTGAAAACAGAGGGTCGGGAACTCGCAAAGTCGTTTGGTTGTCGATTCATTGAGACATCCGCCAAACAACGTATTAATGTTGACGAAGCCTTTTATAATCTCGTTCGTGAAATTCGACGATACAACAAAGAACAACAATATGGGAACCGACCTTCGAATGGACCGGGAAATAACGAATTTACTGATGGAACAGATGAAAATGGTGGTTGTTGTTGTGTGGTTATGTAAAAAATTAATAAATATATACTATATAAACCCCCAAAAATTATATAAAAAAAAAGAAATCCTTTTCCATTTCTATATATATATCCGCATAGCGATTTCTTGTATCATTTCACCAGAAAAGAAGGATAAGGTGATGATGGTCATCTTTTTTTTTTTCTTCTCGGTGTATCATTTACTACTTACTACTACTACTACTATTATTATTATTTTATTTAGAACCGTTCACTTTTAATGAACATATCATTTTGGGCATGTCCTAAATTTGTATCTCTAGTCCTTTTTTTTATCATTCCCTTCCTTTAAATTATTATTTTTTTTTTTTTTCCTTTTGCAATTCAAAAGTTCGAGTCTCACTATATGTTTAAGTATGGGCAATTTCATGCTCAGCAAAAATATAAATATGGATTCATTGCATAAATACGGTATGAAGATCAAACTGTTTTTTTTTTCTTTGTTTTCACCTCGATTCTTGGGAATTGGGTTGTTGTACACACATGGACTCTAAAGAAGCCAAATTTAACTTAATTTGAACGAAAAAATGAATTTTGGGGAACCAAGATATTTATTTATGAGTTAGTCTTCATTTACTTATTCAATTGGTATCATACTTTAATTTAGTAATGTATTTTTATTTTGTTTATATCTCTCAAAAAACCATGTTTTTGTGATGGTGAAAAAAAAAAATCATGTAATTTTTTTTAATTCTCAAACATCTATTTTTTTTTTTTTATAAAAAAAAAAAAAACAGTTTTGAAGGATTTAAACACACTCTACATATATCATTTAAATTAATCTAGTTAAAAAGTTATCATTTCAAAGTTGAATTAGCTCAATAATAAAAAAATAAATCTCTTTTTAATAAATTAATAATTAATAAAAGTTTAACATCTACGCCTTTTAACAAGGACTTTGATTTTGAAAATTTAAATTGTCCACGTGAGTGCCGATGTTGTCTTTGATACTCATCCAAGAATCTGTATTTTAAAGGAATTAAATATTATTTTTTTTTCCACATTTAAACATTTGATAATGTCTATCACGCGTTCAGCTCAAGTCACGTGAATAAGGAGTGACTCTGTATGTAATTTTTTTTTTTTCGCGAAAATTTCACGCGAAATATTCCATTTTAAGTATGAATTGGTCGGTTTTCTTGAACTTTTTACCCTAAACAATAAAATGGTTGTACAAAAGATCACAAACAACAAAAGATGCGTAAAAATAAGAGCGTTTGTTAAAAATAGATCTTCGACGCGATGTGATGATGGCGCGATGTGACACGTAGTCGATAAAAACAATAACAAACATTGTATTACAATGATTTCCATAAAAGTATCGTATACGCCCAAAATACGCGCACCTGATTAAATCACGCTACTTATTGAAGATTAGCACATATAAACAGCGCCCCACTTGAGGCGTTCCCAACTTTTCTCCATTTTTTCACATCCCAAAAAATTTTCTCTAGAAATTTTTGTTTTTTTTTTTCCTTTGAAAAAAAAATTAACCCTTTACTTCTTTTTCATTTAACAAAAACTTTAACAAAAAACAATGGCAAAAGGTAGCTCAAGTCCCGCTAAAACAAAGAAGTCAGCAGCCGCTCCTGCTCATCCCAAATATGAAGATATGATTCGAGGTAGCTTTATGGAACTCGTTCTGTTTTTTGGGGGGGAATTTTTTTTTTTTTTTTTTGTTAGTTTTAGAAAGAGAACCGACGAAACACTTTAATTTTCTCTTTGAAGAGTAAAAAAAAAAATTATAATAATGATATATATTCAACTTCGAGAAACTTTTAAAAATTTACAATTTTCCCACACTATGTTGATAATTTACAGATGCTATTGTCGCTTTGAAGGAACGTAAAGGAAGCAGGTTAGGAAACTTTTCTCGAGTTTCATACATCAAAGACTTTATTGCGACGCGTTTATTCTTTTTTCTTTTACTGATAAATTTTTTTTTCACCCAATTTTTTTCATTTGTTATTAATAAGCCGTCAAGCTATCAAGAAATACATCTTGACCACATACAAACTTCCCGACAACTCCACAACAAACAACCGTCTCCGATTGGCTATCAATAGAGGCGTCGAAAAGGGAATTTTCTCTTTTCCCAATGGTAAACACAATTGATTGATTGATTTCTTAATTATATTATTTTCTTTAATTTTTACATCAACGCCTCTGATTCATCAAATCAATTCTATATATTTCAATATATATTTTTAAAGGTCCAAGCGGTACTATCAAACTTGTAAAGAAAGAAGCGGTTAAGAAGGAAAAGAAAGAACCCGAGAAGAAGGAAAAACCCAAGAAGGTTGAAAAGAAGGAAACCAAACCAAAAGTTGAAAAAGTAACCAAAGTAATTTAAATTTAAATTTATTTGTTAATGGATGATCGTGATGTATATGATGTTAATCTGTTGAGAAAAATTATCTTAATAATCTGGTTCACTTTTATTTCTTTTATAGAAGACGACAACCAGAAAGGCGCCCGTTAGAAAGGCAGCAGCCGCCTCGACTAAAAAAGCGGCAGCCAAACCAAAGAAAGCCACGACCACCTCTTC